GGCTGACCCAGGTCAAGGGCAGGAAGGAGTGTCGGGGAGGCCTGAAGAAAGGGCCCCCATGCACTACTGGGGGCACTGGAGGCTGCCGGCGCCGTGGAAACAGTATGTAGCATCCCCAAATTTTAGAAATAGACCTGTCTGGTGAGCCAGTCGTATCTGCAGAAAGCGCAAACACTCATGGGAAGGACGGAGGCCTCCCGGGCAGCCCTAGTCATAGAAGCCGATGTGGGGGCAGCCTACGGCCCGAGGTCGGAGCAGGCGGTCACCACGTGGCCTACACCGTGGAGCTGGCTCTGGGGAGGCCCAGGCCCTGGGGTGGGGGGCTCAGGGCACTCAGTATTGAGTGACCGGCCGGGCGCGCTGCCTGAGGCGAGTCAGACCTCACCGCTGAGACGAGGACACTGATGGTGACGTGGACACCAGCCCCGGTCCGGGAGGCGCCCCCAGACCAGCCAGCGTGAGCTGCACACACTGCTCCGCTTTATTGCCACGTAAAACCCTCTGCGCCAGCTTCTAGTTCCACTCCGCAATGGGGATGGATGCAGAAAAGAGGGGCCCTCTGTCGGGAGCGAGCAAGCAGGCACCCCTGACTGGCCCCACGCATGGGGACCCCCGAGGGGCCTCCCAGAGGCCAGGGCAACAGGACAGCAGCCCGGTCTCCAGGGCGGGGCAGCGGTCAGGTACGGGGCATCTTTGCCCAGCCTGGCTGGTCTGAGCCTCGGCTTCAGGCTGGGGCCGCTGGGAGCTGCACCCCTGGGCTCAAGGAGCCGGAGCAGATGCACAGGGACAAGAAGCCCTGGGAAGGGGGAAAGGGGCACCCCAGCAGGGTGTCTGCGAGCCCCGAAGTCAGTCTGTGGCAGAGGAGGGGCGAGTCGAGGGGAGACGGTGCCCAGCCAGGATGACAGCGCATAGCCACGCCGAGAGCAGGGCTGGGCTGAGGCCCCCCTGGGTGGGGAAAGCGGGGGCAGCAGCAGGAGAGCCCAAGGGTGGGGGCGCCAGGCCTCCCTGGGCGGGCAGCAGCTGGAGGCTGCCGGCCAGTTTAAAGGAGGCGCGTGGGGGGCCCGTGGAGGGTGAGGTCACAGGTCAGAGGGGAGACCGGACGTCACAGTTCTGACAAAACCATCGAGGCAGAGTCTCAGCGAGGGGCAGTCCGGCCCCAGGCTGCTGCTCCCCAGCCGTCCGCGCGGCTGGAGGTGACCTGAGGACACTGGGCCTCTTGCGTCAGGATCGGGGTCGCGACCTGCTTCTCCCCTGGGGTCCGGCAGTGGTGGGGCTCGGAGCCGCCCTGGCGCCGCTCAGCCCCAGGCGTGCAGGAGGTACTCGTAGCTCAGGAAGGTGACGGCGTTGACGGGGAAGGCCCGGGCGCTGTTGATGACAAGCCCCCGGAAGAAGACCCCCGGCCCCTCCTGCCGGGCGCTGCTCAGCACGCAGTCCAGCAGCCCCCGGTAGGCCCTCTGCGTCAGCCCGTCCATCTGCATCCGGGACTTGATCACGTCCAGGGGCGTGGCCGCGACCCAGGAGGTGATGCCCGCAAAGCCGCCTGCCACCAGCACCGTGGCTGAGCCTGGGTGGAGGAGCCCAGCCAGGGGTCAGGCCAGGGGCGGAGCGCCCCCTCCCGCTCCCCCCGGCCCCTCACCTCCCTGCGCCCCTCCTGGGACTTCACTTACTGGGGTTCTGGCCTTCTGGGGTGTATTTGCGACACAGCCACTCGTAGGTGAGGAAATAGATCCCCAGTGTGGGGGTGTCCCTCAGCGTCAGGGCCCAGGCTCCTCGAAACAGCCCCCGCGGCCCTTCCTCCTGGAAGATGGAGGCCGCGCAGTGCACGGGCCCCCAGTACCGGGGCCGGGGGCTCCCCGGCTGTGCCCTCGGCTCTGTCTGGTTTTGCAGGCGGACTTTGATGAGGTCGAAAGGGGCCAAGAAATAGGCCTGCAGGGAGGAAGCGAGAAGAGGCTGTGGCCCTGGTCTGGGGCCACCCGCCGCCGCCGCCTCCTGGGGCTCGCAGCCTCCGCCCCTGCGGGCCAGGCGGGCGCCTCCCGGGCAGCAGGCCCTCGGCGCCCTCGGCCCACTGCGGCAGGGCCGGCCCCGGCAGGCCCGGACCGGCTGTTACTCGGGAGTGGGGGTACGCGCAGCCTCCAGAGAGCCAGGAGGAGCCCGGCCGGGGGCTCTGAGCAGCCTCAGGCTCAGGCTCTCGCAGCCCCCAGCTCTCCTGCCCGACAGGGGCCGCGGCCAGCCCAGGTGCCAAGGTGGCGGCGGGCAGGACTCTCATCACCTGGCCGAGGCAGGTGGGTTGCAGATTCAGGGTGGCATTTGTGCTGGGGGGTCAGAGGCCAGCAAGTAGTTGGCTGTTAAAGTGGAGGTGAGATTGGAATTCCAAGTGGACGTTGGCACCTTGCTTGGGGGCTAGTCTTTTGGGGTGTCCGTTCTGGAGGTGGCTAACACAGAGGAGGGGGGGCGGCGCTGGCCACCTTTTGAGTCCAAACCTTCACTGCCCCCAGTGGAAGGCGGTGGCAGGGGGCGGGGGGGGGCCTCCCTGTGAGGTGGGCTGTTGTCACCCAGAGCCAGAGGCAGGGCCAGGGGCGGGCTCCTGGGGGCCCAGGAAACGGCTGGGCCAGAGGCCAGCATGCAGGGTGGCCACCGCCACAGGGCGCCAGACACGCTGCACCACCCACGGGCCAGACCAGCAGCAACTTTTGTGCAAAGAGCTAGAGTCGGCCGTGGCCTGGCCGGGCCTAACTCAGGCATCACCCTCATTTTGAGGGGTGGTGGGTCTCTGTCTTGGGAAATACCCGCACCCCGCTCAGAGAGGGGCAGAAGGCCCAGGACCTTTCGGAGAACCCACGAATCATTAATTCCCTGGAGGAAGCCGCCTGCCTTTGCCCTTTGCCCTCACGCTCTGCCCCCGACATGTGTCAGGAGCAGCCCAGGTCCAAAAGGATGCGCCCGGCCCGGGTGTGGAAGGGGCCGGGCCCAGGCCCTGCTGAGCGCTGTGTGCTCAACTGGGGTTCAACTGGGCTCAACCCCGTTCCACTGGGGTTCCCTCTGGCCCCTGTCCCCCACTGCACCCCTCCAAAGCCCGGGCAATTGAGCGCTCAGGAAAAAGGCCCAAAGCAAATCATGAGAATGATTAATGATTAATAATCTGGCCTCTCGTGTGGGCTCTGTGGAGTGGGGCGAGCCGCGGGCAGGGGCGGGGCTGCAGCGGCCGAGAGAGGCCAGGACTGGGCAGGGGCCAGGAGCCGGGCGCAGGCTCTGTGGGAGCTGCAGCGCCCCCCAGGGTGAATGTCCGGGCAGAGAGTTCTTCCCACAGCTCGGGCTAGAGTGGCCAGGGTGAGCCCCGGCCCAGGGGGTGCCGACCTCCTCCCCACAGGCCTCACGGCCCCGCTCCCCTCCCTGAGCTCGCTCTGCCCCCGTGACCCTCCCCTCTGGCTTCCACGCGTGGAAGCCAGGCCGGGGTCTGCAGCAGCCCCTGTCCTGCTCCGGCGGCCTGTGACCTGGAGCCGCGTGTGCGTGGTCTGTGCGCCAGCACCCACACGTGGCTCTGACCTGCACGAACCCCCCAGTGCAGCCGGCTATGAAGACATCTGTGTAGCTGGGCGGCTGGGCTCGCCGCTCCTGGTGGGAGGTGGCCGTGAGGGCCAGCAGCGAGTTGCTGTAGACCCCAAACAGGACGGAGTTGACCACGGCTATGCTCGCGATGGGGAAGCTCATTCCCTTGAAGAAACCCAGGACCTGCAGAGAGACCCCTCAAGTGGGTGGGGGTGTGGGAGGCTCCCCTGTGCACTCTCACCCCGTGAGGCCTCCTCTGGCCTCCTCTGGGCTGACCGCAGGGAGGCAGAGGCGAGGAGGGGTGGTCTCAGCCTCCACTCAGGCACCGTGCCGTGCGCCCGCCGAGGCCTCCGGGGCCCCATGCCTGGGTCTGCCTTTCTCCAGGGGCCCAGCCCCGGGGAGGGGAGGAGGGGACTGGCCCTGACTGCCCGCCCCAAAGCCGCAGGCCACCCACCGACTCATGGCGGTAGGTCTTGACCATGCAGTCCACTATGCCCTGGTACGTGTTCTGGGTCTGCAGCCGCACCTGGAAGGGAGGGTGGGGCAGGTGTGCATCGGGGCTCAGCCCCAGGCCCGCCCGCCTGCTGCCCTGCCGCCCCCCAGGCAGCGAGACAGCAGGGGAGGGCGAGAGCCCTACCAGGCCCTGGCGCGGGGCATCCTGACCGGTGGCTCACGCGGCATCTTTCTCTCCTGGAGCGCCTCCCCCAGACTCACCTTGACAGTGTCAAAGGGGTGTCCCAGGACCAAGCCCAGAGCTCCTGTGGTGACAAGAAGATGCGGTGAGTGAGGGCTCTGGCGCCAGGCCACGGGCGAGTTTGTGCCGAGAGGAAAGAGGGGATCGGGCAGGAGGGCGGTGCGGGGACCTCTCAGCCCCCTGGGGGCCACCCTCGGAGGAGACAGCAGTGGCCCAGCAGGTATGGGCAGGGAGCCCGCCGGCACATGGCGACCGGGCCGGATGCAATGGCCGGAGGACGCGCAGCCCCGCACAGGCCCGAGCCACCACCCCGCGCCCACGTCTGGCCGGCTGACCTGTCTGACCGGGGGACCTGGGGCCAGCTCCTACAGCTCCTGCCTCCCTGCCGACTTCCCTTCTTCTCCCAAGTCACAGCACTGTCCAGCGCGGGGGCTCGGTCCCCGGGTGCCCTGGCGCTGCAGGCTCCGTCCTTAGGGGAGTCTTGGCGGTCCGGGAGGAGGGCCTGCCCGCCCCCCCTGCAGGTCTTGCCTGCATAGCAGAGGCTGGTTCTGAAGCTTTGGGTGATGTCACATTCCCGGGAGGCCGGATTGGAATGTCCCTCTTTCTCCTAAGAGAAATGTCACCCAGGAACCCGCCGGACCTGCAGCACGGCAAGCCTCGGGCCCAGATGGACATACAGTCCACTGCCAGGTAGGGTGGAGTCCCATGGGGGCAGGCAGGGCCACAGGTGAGTTCAAAGGCCAAGTTCCTGCTGAGCGCAGGGGGCCTGCAGAGTGGGCTCTGGGGGACTCCCCGTGGCTCCTTCCCAGCCCCTCAAGCAGCCTGGCCTCCCCGTGCGGCTTTCTCCCTCTCCCCCGGCGGCTCCTGAGAGGCTGTGGGACAGCTGGCTCCCAGCCTCCAGGGAAACCAGGACTTTGGTCTCCCCTCCCTCCTCCTGTGTCCCTCACCTTCCCGGAAGTGACCCACCACCGGGGGTGAGGTGACATAGGAAGAGCAGTGTCTCACCGGAGATCCAGCCGGCCACGAACTCCTCCACAGGCATTGTCCGGCAGGCGGACCGGGCGGCCGGGGCAGAGGAGCGCTGGTGAAAGCGAAGTTCCACCTCTCCCTCCCCGTCCTCTGGCCTGATAACCTCCCACTAATGTTTAACCCTGGGGGTAGGGTGAGCCTGGCCCAGTGCCCAGGCCTCAGCCCAGGAGAAGGGAGCCGGCCCAGGCCTGGCCTGGGGGCTGGAGGAGGTGCACCCGCTGTGACCGCTCAGGGGCAGGCCTGAGCCACCCGCGGCCCTGCAGCGGGGGACAGCCAGGGCAGGCTCTGTTGGGGCCCAGACGGCTGCATGGTCGACGGAGCCCATTGGGGCAAGACCGTGCCGGTCAGGGCGGCCGCGCCACCCTCCCATTCATCTCCGGCTCTTGGGCTCTTGGCTGCCCTGCACCCAGGCCAGGCCACCCAGCTGCAAAGACAGGGCGAGGCCACCAGGGGGCAAGCCCTGCCTAGGCTGGCCTGGGTTTTGGGGAACCCTGGCGCCTGCTGGGCTGGCCCACCCAGAGCAGTGAGTCATGGGGCCTGGAGCTGTTCTCCCAGAGTTGTTTACGACTCCCCAATCTGCTTGTGAGTCATAAACAACCTCCACCAGCCTCCTCAGGGGGAAAGCTAAGCCTCTTTCCCAGGGGAAAGAAGGGGATTTTGAGTTGTAAACGGTGGTGTATTGTCTCTGTGTGGGGGTGACCAGGTTGCAACTACTTGTTTCTCTTTGGACCTCATCACCCAGACAGACAGGGCAGGGACCTAAGTGCCCCTCCTTGGAGGACGGAGCGGGGACGGGAAGAGGGGGACTCTCCTTTCTTGGGCATAGAGATCCAGAGCTCAGCACTTTGCCCACAGACATCTGCCAAGGCAGGTGCCAACCCTGGAGTGGTCCTTGAGCCACTCTGAAACCTCACCACCATTCCAGAAGGAAACTGCTTTAAGGTTACGGGCAAAACAGGTTCCCTTCCAGCCCCCCACTCCTTCCACTCTACGCTTTGGGCAAAAACCACCTTCACCTCCACTTGGATTCCTGCCTCCTTGCCCACTCCCACATCTGTCCAGGCAACAGCCAAAAGCTGAAACCTAAGCCAGACCACACCTCTCCTCTGCAAGCTGCAGTGACCCCTTCCCGCTCAGCCCAGACCAAAGGTCCAGCTTCTAGAAGCCTCACCAGGTAGCTCCTGCTCCTCTGACCTCAGCTTCCTTCGCATCTGTCCACCCTTGCTGACTGTTCCCTCTTCCCATGGCCTCGTCCAGCCAGGGCTCAGCTCTCACCTCCACATGGAAGACCACCCGATTTTCTCATTCAAATTGCCATTGCGGCCCTCCCTGGTGGCACAACGGGTTAGGACGCAGCACTGCAAGCTGGCCGCAGCCACTCCAGCACGAGTTTGATCCCCGGCCCCGGTGACCCACATGGCGCAGCAGACCTCTCCTGTGTTGCCTGCTGCTCCCCTCAGCGGTGTACTTCGTTGATCTGCCTGTTCTGCTCCCTGCTCTGTCTCTGGTGAGTCCTCTTGCCGCCTGTACCCCAGTTCTGTATGCATAATAAGTCTTTTTAAAAATTGCCATTTGCCCTGCCCTGCCCAGCACCCCTGATGCCTCTGCCTGGCCCTAGCTCTTCCATTGCACTCATCAGCTTCTGACACCGTGTTGTTGACTTGTTTGTCTGACAGGGCATGGCTGGGATGCCTGGCTGCTTTGCTCACTGATGTTATCTCAAGGCTTAGAATGGTGTATGGCATGCAGCAGGCACTCCATGGATATTTGTTGAAAGAACAAATGCATGATCCAGACGGAACAGCACCAGCGGGCTTCTGGCAGGCATTCCCGGTTGGCTGCCAAGGCCGCACCAGGACGGCAAGACCTGCCGGAGCCCCAGGCCGCCCGGTGCCCCCAGCCTGCCCAGTGCGGAGCGCCTGCTCTCCCCTGCAGAAGCCACCCACCCCACACTTCTCCGCGGAGGACAGGGACGAGGAAGCAGCTCTTCATCTGTGACCTCCTCCTGGGGACTGACACACGCACTGGGCTGCTGCCGACCTGCACAGAGGCCGACACCACGACCCCAGCCCAGGTTCTGAGCAAAGCTTTATTGTAAACTGTCAAAGAAGCAGAAGTAAACGCAAATCTGCGTCCCTGTTAAGAAAGGGAGTGAGGCTGCGCAGGCTTGGGGGACCAGCTCAGCGGCTCCGGAGGCCGAGACACACAGGCACCCGGCCGAAGTCCACTGCCAGCCGCCGGCGGTCGTACCGGGACGAGGAGGCTTTCCTTCAGATCACTGCAGCTCCGCGTTTCGGGGTGCGCCCCTCGCCTCCGGTGGCCCCTGCTCTGTGTTTGCAGCCCCTGGCTCCAGCGGCCTTGGCGCTCAGCTCCAGGTCGGTCCTGCTTGCTCAGCCTGGGTCATCCGCAGATAAACTGCAACTGTGGAGACGGCCTCGCAGAGAAAGTCAGATGAAGTGTTTCTCTTTTGTGCTGTAGCGGCTGCGCGTCCTCGGCCATCTGGCCGTCACCAGCCCCCCCCCCCCCCGCGCACGGGTCTCGTGTAGGACGCGGCTCCTAGGTGTGGGCTCTTTCCTGAGTGATGCTGGCCAGTCCTCCTGCACCCCCTGGGGCCCTGGACTGCTGGTAAACGTGAGGGGCCTCACTTCAGATTGGGCCTGCTCTCTTTCCAAGCCCCGCGCTGCTTCCCTAGTTTAGAGGAGACCCATTCCCACCCTGGAGCCTCGCCGGCAGCCCCGGTGCTCTCTTCCCCAGTGCCCTGAGAAATCTGCAGGGTTGACTCTCTGCCTGGCACTGCGGAGTGCCACAGTCCCTAGCTACGCCTCCAAATTCCTCACACCCGCAAGCCCGGCCCTGCCCCGCCCCGCCCCTGTGCAGGGCTGCCTGCCTTCCCAGCCTGCCTAGCTCTGACCTCTCCACCCCGGTTTTCCGACCATGCACATGTGGATCCCGCTACCTGCGCTGCCTCCCCTCCTGCCCGCATCAGCCTTCAGGGTCCCTCCCAGCAGCCTCTCGCTGGCCCCAGATTCCAGGCTCCTCACCACACCCACTCATGCCAACCGACACCGGCACTGCTCCTGACCCTTCCTGATCCTGCTTTCTCATAAAGTGGAGCTATGCCCAGGCCTCCGAGTGCTTGAAGCACTTAGAAAGCGGTATGCATTTCAGCTACATTATTCTTGTTCCCTCTTAGAAAGCGGTATGCATTTCAGCTACATTATTCTTGTTCCCTCTTCAAGTCATTAGGTCCAGGGGCCGTGAGGAGACACAGCAGGTGCTCACTTCCTGAGCACCTTCTCTTTCTGCTTGTGGCATTTTCTAAAGGCAATTCTGTCATGTAAGCCTGCCTTCTTCCTGCGCACTTTTCTTCTCCCCTCTCCCACCACTTCCCAATGTGACAGAAGGTAACTTCCTGAGGGCAGAGCCTTGTCTCCCCTCGGCTGCCATCCCTGCCCCAGCCCAGGCCCTGCACCTGCCAGCATTCAACAACTGCTTTATGCCAGCAGGTTCAGGGAGGTTAGTGTCTTTGTGTCCCAGACTGAGGGTCCCAGAGCTGCAAGCTGGGAGACACCTGTTCCCAAGGCAGACCCGCCTCCCTCCTGCTCACACCTGAGACTTCATGAACTCCTAGAATGTGTTAGTGAAGTAGACAGGTGGTAGGTTGTGTCACGAGGCCTGAAGGGTCCCGGTGGGCAGGCAGAGCTGCTTCAGGTGTTGAGAAAGTGGACAGGGTTAAGAGCTGAGCTGGCTCCCTTCCACACCTGGGGATCAGGGCATCCTTGAATCATTGTTCACTTGGAACAATTGGGCCCCTCAGGCTCAGGTGCACAGAGCCTGTTTTTCTCCCTGAAATCTACACCTGGGGCACTGGTGTTGGCATTGCCAGGACTTGTAGTTGACAAGGCCTGGGCAGATAGGTGGTTTCACACCCTCCTCTTTGGGGCCCAACGCCTCTGCCCAGGCAGGGAATGTCTGCTCCTCGCCTGCGGGTGTCCTGGAGCAAGGGCTCACGGGACTGCTCCCTGGAAAAACCAGTGTGCCCTCCCCAGGCTTCTCGCTCGCACAGAATGGGAGGCTTCTTGGAGGTAACCCAGCCAACCGAGGAGGGGCAGGGGCTTCTGGGGCTGAGTCAGAAGAGGGACCCATGCTCGGTCACCGCCCGCCCGCGGGATGGGATCTTAGCCGGGCACCCCCAGCGGGGCCCTGTAAGTGGCTGCCTCCACCGTGGGGGCCCAGCCCCGAGTGCTCAAGCCAGTGAGTGTCCACCCCCAGGTTCCGGACACTTCACCACAGCTCGTTACAGGCGAACGCTCTGTATGCAAAGGCCCCTCGCACTCGGACACTGGGGTTGGTAGCAGGGGC